AATATTCCAAGAAAATTTTGCAATCTGACATTTTTTCCCCTGAGGATTTATAGTTTTCCCGTTTCTTCTTTTCCTCTTGTTACTCAGTCGTCAGTCCTGATACTCCTGAATGTTTTAAATGACTGCCAGTATCTAACAGAAGCCAGTCTTTTTACAATGACGAGTGTAGGAGGAAATTCAAATTTTTTTCATGAACCCCTTGGGTGTTCACTGTTCACTAATGAATGTAGAGTATGGCTTTCAGTTGACATTTCCAAACTAAAACTGAATTAAAAATGCTGACATGTAAACCTATGGGGAAACTGAACTTGACTAACATGACTTTTCATGTAAAGGACTAATCCATTGCACAAAGTAAGTCCATTAGACATGGGGTGACTGTACAGTATTTCTAATGGGAAAGGGAATGGATAAGTTTCCAAAATCACATTTTTGTTGAGCTCTAAAAAATCAGTCTCAACTTCACTATCTGCGCTTTTCAAAGCTCTTAAATATTTTGAGTTTGAATAAGTGGTGCCTGCAATGCTATGATTATTGGTAACATACTGAAGAAAAATAACAAAAGTGCTGTATTTGAACTGACTTCTTTTGAGCTTGAAATGGATTAACTGCTGACAGGCTGACTGGATACCATGCTGTACAGTAGTTTATACTCATAACCACTGTCCGGATCGTTTACTTGGTTAAGTACATTACACTTCTCCTCACTGTAATTTAGAATTCTGCTTCTATACTAGAGACTGGCCATTATTAACAGTCAGATAGACCGGATTGGTGTAAAAAAAAACAGCCCAAAGAAGAAAAAAGATTCAAAAATCCTTCAGATTTATATAAAATTTGAAGTTTCACTAATCTTCTTCATCAGAATTTGCCTTAATAGCTGCATTTGTGTCAAGTTCAATATCAGCATATTTTTCACATTACTGTACAGTAATATGAATTCTGATTGCCAACTGTATCTCTGTTCTTTGAAAACAGGGGTAATTTATAAGGAAAGGAAAGAAGATACTGTACTGTACTTGTTATTCTACATTCCCTCTTTTTTTGGCCTGGCAACTATAAATGAGGTATGGTAATATTCTGATGAATTCCTTCTGTGACCTGATATTTTTTAACCCTTTGGGCAGTGGTGCTGGGATTTATCCGCATAATTGTGTGCCACAAGGCATAACACTTTAAACAATATAAGAGGGATTAGAAGAGTCAAAGTTGGGGGAAATCCCAATTTTTTTTTAGCAGTCCTGCAGAAACATTTTCATCAACAAAATAAAAAAGGTACTTTTTGGTGGCATATTTTCTTAATACCAGCCATAGGATTAGCATTGAGGGAAGTACAGAACAGTGGCTTTCCATTTCCTGGATTTTTCTTGACTTCTCTGGCTACTCAGTCAAAGCTTAGTGACCTTTGGTCAAACCAAAACACACTAATGTTTCAAAAAATCCTGGTACTGCTTTGCAAAGGAGAAGGACCCACTTCCACCCAAGGTTGGATATACAGGCTTCTATTAATCAGCTGACCTTATATTATAGCATGTTTAGTAGTACTCACATCCGTGCCAAGAATCCCAAAAATTCAATCCTGAGTTGTGATTTCCCTGGACTTGTTACTAAATCTTGGAAAGAGAGCCATGCATTAATTATTTGCTGATGTCAACTAAACTAATAAAGGGAAAAAAATTTAGAGTTTACTCAGGAGTAAAAGCTAAAAACTAGCTTATGAATTTGATATCTGCAACACCAAACTCCCAAAGTATATTTGTTGTGCAGTAACTTAATTAAATAATATCAACCAATAAAAACCATAATTTATTTTCTTGTCATGGAAATGTGAAGATCTTTCCGATTAAAGAAAAGCCAGTAGTGAAGTTACTTAAACCCTAAATATATCTGAAATCAGGATGTCCACACTTCACAGTGTATTTAAACTTCTCCACTGAACAATGGAATTCCAGTTGTTCCAGGTTGATTTTATCTTTCAGATGATGTGTTTTCTAAAACTTCGGGAATATTCACAGATGACAATTATGCTCATGATTATGTATTCAAGAAGAAGAATTAGATGAGAGCCCTAATCAAATAATGTTCTGTGAACAAATCTCATCAAAATTAAAACTGTTCATCAATCACCATGTATCACTATCACTATTAATAATTTCCTCTTCTGATTCCACAGCAGGGAATGCCTCATTATATAAATTTGAATTGGACATTCTGTTCCTACAATATAGGTTTTCAGAACTGCTCCCGAGCTATCTTTTTTCCAGTCCAACGCAATGTTTGTACTAATATCAACATTATAAAGAAAATTTTCCAGGAAGGTTCAATCGACAAGGAAAAAAGTTGCTCTTGACTCTTTCTTTCCCTTTCCATATGCACACAGGGACAGATTAAACCACATTTTTTCCTGATGCTGCACAAAAATGGGCCTAATTTTCCTTTGCAAAAAGGAATTTTTCTCACAGAATTAAAAATGAAATTTGTAGCAAACAATGATATCTGAGGCTAGAATTCAATCACACAAAGATGCGGTAAAATTCTGCCTCAATGAATATCATTACAATAAACTTTTCTTATACTGCATTTTGTTTGGTTCGGCAGTTTCTCCATAGGCACCATGCTATCATATATTATTGTAATGAACTCATATAGGCTGTTGTCTAATTGTAACAAAATGTTGGGCTTGATTCTGTGTATAGACTATAGCAATCATTTCATAAATGGTGAAAGGAATAAGGGAAAAATGAAAAGGTGCAGCATTTCTATTTCTTGAAAGACTGACAATTTTTGTAGAGAAGGTTTGGTGTTCAAAAAATGCAAATGACATATCTTTTTGGAAATTCTTTAGCTACATTCAAAATGTCACGCCTTTCTTTCAAGTAAACAGTGTCCTAGAAGATATGCTCCTCTGTTTGAAGGAGCATCATCAGACATGTATAAGCAAAAAAGTTGATTTGCATATGTGGCATTTACCAAAACACTCAAAGTGACTTTTTCAAAGCTTTGGATTATGATTGTATAAAATTCATATTTCAAAAGAATATAACCAATTACAAATCTGAATCATTAGCAAACCAGCTGTTTTTGCGTTCAAATACTACTGATTGCATATAAAACCTCCCCACACTTACCATTGTTAGAACACATATTATTTGAATCACTCAAGAGTGAAAATGCCCCACCTTGCCTTCATTACACATTTATTAACAGCCGCATAAATCCAAAAACAATGTGAAAATGTGTCTAAATTACAAAGTTCCAAAGATATGCTCTATTACAAAATTCAGTGAATTTGAGAGTTCATTTGAATTGTTTGGTTAGGATAGGAATGGGCACAAAAATATCAGTTTTTCAACTCATGGCACAAATGATGTACATATCCTAAGAAATCCATGCAATGATGAAGTCTGTGTCTCTGTTAAAAGCAGAAATTTCTCATATTTCCAACTTTAGCTTGGATTGCATGTCAAAATTACATCCACTTATTCCATTTATTAAAAGAGTCACCAAATTTTAACCCATGCTGTGTGGTGGATTACTTGGGATATTCTAAAAATTGTGGTGCCCATCCCATGAGCACTTGAAAAAATTGCATTTCTGAATGAATGCTCAAGTGAGGAAAAAGTTCAATACAATAATTTATTTCAATCCTGCCAAAAAGTTTGATTAAGATTTAGAAATTGTCTAAAATTTTTAGTGTCATCATTGCAAAAAAACCTTGCATTGTTCATATTGGAATGCAATGCAGTGAGAGGCTCCACAAAAAATTAAAGAGAAATAACATTCAGCAACTTGGAAATATCTTGAATACCTCCAAAATGTTTTTATAGACTATATAGAGCAATGGACAATCTTGAAAATATGTATTGAAACTGTCAATTTTCTTATACAAAAATCTGGCAAGAATTCAAGATGAAGACATATTTTCCCACTACAAGATACACAGGGATATATGAAGAATAACAATCTCAGTTTGCCACACTCCTGCTCCTAGAATTCCTCATAGAAAATATGGCTTGGACAAGATACTCTTGGCCTGGTGCACATTAGAAAATTGCAGCAGGGGATATCTGCCTGTTTCCCAGGATGCAAGGTGGAAAAGGTTTTTTTTAGGGCTGTGTTCAAAAAGCATCTTCATTGCAAAAAAGGGACATTTGGATTTATGGGACCAATAACAATGACAAAGGGGGAGGGGGATAAGGAGGCACAGCAGGGAATGAATTGAATAAAATTAATTTTCTACATCACAATTGTTTATAAATTACTGATTTTTCAGAAATAAAATATTGTAATTTTCGAACACCATAAAAATCTCTTGAGAAGATTTTTGAAGCCACCAAAGGCTTCTGAAGTGGGGACAGGACTCATAGGAGAGACACTTTTATACCACCACTAGGGCATGACTGGAATTGAAATCTTTGACTGGATTTTTCCTTCCTATGATGTCTGTGATGCTGCATTTCCTGTTTTTTGATAATAGGCCTGGATACATTTTTAATACAGGAAGGATTGTGTTTGCTTAACCAAGAAAATGTCCTGATTTGATTTCCTGTCAAAGGGTTTCTATGTGCATGCACATAGAACCCAATTTAATTCAAGCACACTGCAGTGTGCTTGAATTGATTTTGTGATGCCTGATTTTTAAAATCCTAAATACTTTTCTCTTTTCTGCTTTTGCAAACCTTTTTTACTCTCTTGAAAGTTTGAATCCCCCAGCTCATGGGATTTTAAATTTAAAACTCACCACCTTGGGGAATTTCATTTTTGAATTCTCAGTGGGCCTATATGCCTGGTTGGCCTGATGCTACAGCATCAATAGCACCCACCTCAATCCTGCCCTGTATGTACATATAACCCTGTGGACAGCCCTTGTGAAGTTGGCCTATATATGGCTTGAGCAGTAAATAATAGATGACATGATAATTATTACTCACCATTATGTTCATACACTATGCATATGATATGCTACATCATGTGCGTCTCAATCTGCATAAAAAACTCGCATGCCCGATGCATATATCGGCAAGGAATATACGTACTGTACCTGGACAGATAAGCTAGCAGCGACACCCGACGGAGCAAAAGCACAACCGAGCATCGAAGCTTCCACCGCCGGCCAAGAGGTGACGCCCTCTGCAGCAGCAGCAGCACCGGCGCGCCATCCCAACAAGCTTCAGACCCTGGTGCGCACGCAGTCGACGCTCATGTTCTGGTCTCGGGTTCGCGGCGGCCTCCCGCCGCAGAGGGGCAAGTCCGGGCGCGGGGTTCGCTTGTCCGAGCTGGCGGACATGATGGACTCGGGCGGCGGTGGCGGTGCGGGTGGTGGCGGTGCTGGCAATAAGCCCGGGTGCCTGATGAGGCGAAGCGTGAATTTGAAGGCCACGCGGCCGCGGACGGAGATCCGCATCCCGCCGGACGAGAACCTGCTCAGTCAGTTCGTGGAGAAAACGCCGCTGGATAAAGCCATTCAGTGCAGCCCGTCCATGTCTGAACACTGGGTGAGTGTGGGAAGGATTCTAAAATATGTCATAGTATTAAAGTACTAGCGTATTTATTTAATCATTGTAAGTGTCATGGGTCCATTGGATCCCAGACAAAGTAATTGAATTGTGCAGCCATCAGAATGCAAGTTTTGATTAAGAACTCAAACTCCTTTTCAGAGGAGTTCATTCTCATTGCCGAGTTCATCAATTGGATGTTAATTCAATATAATGGCAGAGTCAATTTAAGATTCATATTGGTTAGCTCAGAATATTGAATGAGGTAATTAAAGTTAAATGGCCCTTTAACACTAGGTTCTGATTTCTTGGCTTCTCCTCTCAAAGAGGAATCAGGGTTTTTATACCCAGGTGCTTGGACTGGGTCAGGAAGAAATCAGGGTGATTTCTTCCTGGCTCAGGATTGGCCGATTCAGGCAAAATTGAAGAAGTGATGACCACTTCTTGTCCTTGAGTGAGGCTCATTAGTGAGTCTTGCAAAAACAGGATTTTTGCAAGGCTCACTGGCCTCAGAAATACAACACGTTTTCATTCTTATTAGCGTTCACAATAAGGTTTAAAACAAAATATTCCCCCTCCCCCATACACAGCCCCAGTGCCAAAATCCTATCATATAATATAGGGACCTCAGAAAAATTGCTGTTATTATGACTGAAACTCTGTTATACAGACTAGATGAACATCAGGCGTATACGCCAAGGCATTTAATATCAATTGGTTACATTGTATTCTTGCTTCAAAAAGTATCAGAACTGCAGTTGCTTCAACAAAGGTCCACTGTTTCATAGTTAAACATATAGGGATGTGCAGGTGGTACCTTGAAATTCAAGCTTGTGTCATTTGACCATTCTGCAATTCATTGGTTGAATTGGCAGAGAGGTTGACTTATTGTAATTTGACCCTTGCCCAGCAATTTTAGCTTCTTTGGACCTTTTTTGTTTTTATTTTTTAATTTCAAGAAGTATTTTGCAATTTAACTGCTTTCCAATTTGACCCTACTTTGGCAAAGTATTGGGGTCAAATTGCAAGGTACCACCTGTGTATAGGTACCATGTATGCAAAATTGTAATCTTTATTTTTCCATATAGTCAACTATTCCCAAAAAGCACAAATAAACAGGATTTCCAGAACAAAATATCAAGAAATTCTTTTTCTTCTATGTATAACATTTTAATTTCTGGTTTTTCCTTATAGTCATTATCAAACAGGCCAGAAAAAAAATGAAAATGATTTACCAATTTTCAAGTGGTTCATTTTTCTCAATGCTGCTTGCAGATGTTATCTTAGTGAAAAAATTAGCCTGAATTTATTTCTGCTTATTTCTCCAGTTAGAAAAATGCATGGCTCTGTAAAGTTTGGTATGATCAAAATTGCCATTTGAAAAACAAGTGCAATGAATGTGTTCATCATGATTTGATAAAATTACCTTCCTGACTGATGAAAAATACTTTCATGATTTCACTTTTGGATATCAGACTATAGTTTTCAGGGTGAACTATTACATAAGTGAGTTATTTGTGAACATATTGCGCTCTTCCACATGGTTGCAAAGACAACCTTGGGAAAAAGCACACTAACTTCAATTAATAAGCTCCCAAAGACCAGGAAAAACTTTTCCTTGAAAGTCTCACGTGGGTGATTGCAGGTGAGCACTGAGCATTCTGAGAAACACAGCCAGGGTGTGAATCATGTTGAAGGAGGCTGGCCAAAAGACATCAATGCCATGGAACCAGATCAAACCCAAAGATTCCGCAAGAAAATAGAAAAAGAGGAAGGCTTTGTCCAGACTGTCAAAGAACTTGGAAATGTATGTCCAAATTCTGCTTTGATCTTCATTACAACATTAACACCTGAGCTGAGCTGAAAAAAATATATTCCAATTGTATCCAGGTGATGACCCATTGCATCATGCAGAACAATGCAGTGGACATTTACCAAGACTACTTTGACACTTCATCTCATGTAGCAGTCACTGAATCTACTGGCAAATTGGACACTGACAGTGACAGCCCTTCTGCCAAAATTGTTGCAGTNAAGTGATGACCACTTCTTGTCCTTGAGTGAGGCTCAGTGAGTCTTGCAAAAACAGGATTTTTGCAAGGCTCACTGGCCACAGAAATACAACCCGTTTTCCAGTCTGGTTTCTACTGGATGCTGGAGCTGCATTGCTTTGGTCCACAACAATACCCCAGAGTTATTTATTCCTTCTTATTAGCGTTCACAATAAGGTTTAAAACAAAATATTCCCCCTCCCCCATACACAGCCCCAGTGTCAAAATCCTATCATATAATATAGGGACCTCAGAAAAATTGCTGTTATTATGACTGAAACTCTGTTATAAAGACTAGAAACATGGAGCCTATACTTCAAGGCATTCAATATCAATTGGTTGACTTGCATTCTTGCTTCAAAAGTGCCAGAGCTGTTGTTTCAACAAAGGCCTACTGTTTCATAGTAAAACATATAGGGATGTGCAGGTGGTATCTTGCAATTCAACCGTGTGTAATTTGACCATTCCAAAATTCATTGGTTGAATTGGCAGGGAGGTTGACTTGTAATTTGATCCTTGCCCAGCAATTTTACCTATATACTTTGGACACTTTTTGGCGTTTTTTTACTGATATTTTTGAATTTCAAGAAGTATTTTGCAATTTACCTGCTTTCCAATTTGACCCTACTTTGGCAAAGGATTGGGATCAAATTGCAAGGTACCACTTGTGTATAGGTACCATGTATGCAATATTGTAATCTTTTCTTTCCATAGTCAACTATTCCCAAAAAGCACAAATAGACAGGATTTCCAGAACAAATATCAAGAAATTTTTCTCCTTTTATGCATAACATTTTAATTTCTGGTTTTTCCTTTTAGTCATTATCAAATAGGCCAGAAAAAATGAAACTGATTTACCAATTTTCAAGTGGTGCATTTTCCTCAATGCTGCTTGCAGATGTTATCTTCGTGAAAAAATGAGCCTGAATTTATTTCTGCTTAGTTCTCCAGTTAGAAAAATGCATGGCTCTGTAAAGTTTGGTATGATCAAAATGGCCATTCGACAAACAAGTGCGATATGTATGTGTTCATCATGATGTGAGAAAATTACCTTCCTGACAAAATAAAAATACTTACAGGAGTTTACTTTTGGAAATCAGACTTCAGTTTTCAGGGTAAACTATTACAAAATTGAGTTATTTGCAAAAAGTGCGCTCATCCTTCACATGGTTGCAAAGACAACCTTGGGAAGAATCACACCAACTTCAATTAATAAGCTCCCAAAGACCAGGAAAAACTTTTCCTTGAAAGTCTCAACATGGGTGATTGCAGGTGAGCACTGAGCATTCTGAGAAACACAGCCAGGGTGTGAATCATGTTGAAGGAGGCTGGCCAAAAGACATCAATGCCATGGAACCAGATCAAACCCAAAGATTCCGCAAGAAAATAGAAAAAGAGGAAGGCTTTGTCCAGACTGTCAAAGAACTTGGAAATGTATGTCCAAATTCTGCTTTGATCTTCATTACAACATTAACACCTGAGCTGAGCTGAAAAAAATATATTCAAATTGTATCCAGGTGATGACCCATTGCATCATGCAGAACAATGCAGTGGACATTTACCAAGACTACTTTGACACTTCATCTCATGTAGCAGTCACTGAATCTACTGGCAAATTGGACACTGACAGTGACAGCCCTTCTGCCAAAATTGTTGCAGTTTTCAAAGACTTCTCAGAGACCACAGCAGGTGCTTGTGGGATGTCTGGAGACAAAAGATCTGCCTGCAAAGTATCCTGGTCCCCTGATGCTGGCAGGAAGCTTGCTGTTGCCTATGCTGTTGTCCACTTCAGTGGTGTGAAACCTGATATTGCAAAGGAATCCTGTGTCTGGGATATTGGTACATTCAGCTTCAAAATATTTTCATTTGCATGCTTCATCAGCAGGTGCCTGAATTCTCTAAATTATGTATTTTTGTGCAAACAAATGTTTTTGTACTCCAGCAATCTTTAGCCTCTTCAAATACAGTAAAATCTCAGCACAACAAACTTGTGGGGACTTTAGAAAAAGGTTGTTAAAACAAATGATTTGTTAAATAACAAGATTTTCAAAATTATTTATTGCAGATGGGAAAGATTCATTCAAATTAAACCTGCATGCACTCAATATGTTTATTTTATGGGCTTTGCAGTTGTTTTTCCATCTTTGAAATACTGTGAAAAAATTAAAACGAGAATAACAAACGTTTACTCTGAATAACAAGTAAATACTAGCACTTTTTGTGAGCAATTCCTGCAAAGATTTGTAATGGTGGATGTTCAAAAAGAGCTTACAGTTGTTAAGCATGAGTAGGGGTTTTCAAGCATGAAAACCCTCTTTTAACATGAGATTTCCTGGTTTAATTTTATATCAACCCACCTTCCTATAGCCCAGGAACAATTTTTGAAAGAAAGGCTGCTCAGGTGAATTATGAAGAATTTTTTCCTTTATTCCACCTTCCATTCATGTCCCAAGAACTGGAATGGGGAATTGGAGACTGTGCCTGCCTTCACTGGAGATTTTTCATTAGGAAATTATATGTTCCTCATAAAAAGTTTTTTATGCTGGAATTGGAGAGATTTTTGTAACAAGATTCTTATGGAATGTACCCTACGTACATGCCCTACAACAGGACTTCTGCTGGAACTTGAAAAAAACAACAATTGTTATAATAAAAAATTTGCTGTAACAAGATTCTGCTCTACTGTATATTATTCAAATAATTCAGGATAATCAATTGAAGGATCAGCCAATTTTTAAAGAATTTAGTGTAGGGGAACCTCTTAAAGGTTCCCTCAAAGACCACTGAAGGTCAATTATTCTGGTTAACCTCACAACCTTCTGGAATGAGATGCAGTTAGCTTATTGTGAACCAAAAGAGAGCATAATAAACCTATAATCTGCAACTGGTGGTAGCAGTGGGATGAGATGCTGTTAGCTTACTCTGAACCAAAAGAGAGCATAATAAACCTATAATCTGCATTACTAGAACTGCTTTTTGAACCAACTTAGTTCCTATCTTTTCCTCCATAAGTGGGAAATATTTCTTTCTTAACTGGAAAGATGATTTGTAGAAATGTGTGTCCCTTCAAAATTCTTACCCTCTGAAAAACACTTTCAAACTATTCCAAGTTAAATGAAGATGTTAGCTATATGTATTCAGTCTCCAAGAATACTGTATTATACTCATGGGCAAAATTCATGGTTATATCTGTATATACAGGCAAGCTCGGAATCCTGACCAAAAATTGCAGTCTTCAGCTTTAATGGGTAACATGGAAAGGATGAATAATTCATGTCTGATGAAAGGGATAAGGTTGAAAAAAAAAATTATGGTCTCTCACACAAAGTTTATGAATGTTGCATGCAGACAATGTAAGCAACAAGTTGCCACTCCCACCAAACATGCCATGTACCTCTTGTCCAAACATAGCATTAGCATCTGGATTCCATTTAATGTGCTTGGTCAATACAATGCCAGAGAATGCAAATGTTCCTGAACTGGTGCTGGAGTCAAAGACAAACCTGGTTGCCCTGGAATTTAACCCAAAAGACTGTAATATCCTGGCTGGGGGCATGGACAAGGGCCAGGTGTGCTGGTGGGACATAAGAAGAGGACCTGTGCCAGTGGAAACCACTCCTGTTCACGTGTCTCATACTGAGCCTGTCTATTCTCTCACTTGGATCAACTCAAAGCAGGGCACTGAGTGGTTCACTGCTGCCAATGATGGAAAAGTGAGTTGAAATTTTAGCTCAACAGCTTTCATAACACAGATGGGGACTGGCTGAATAACCAAAGTACCCCTCCCTCTCTCCCCTCTCTCTCTCTCTATATGGGCGAATTACCAATAAATAACTTGGGGGTTTTTGTTCAAATATGGACTCAAACTATTTTCAGGTAATTTTTTAATGTGTTGTCCGTTATTAAATAAACAACTTCTGATCAAGTATATATAAAAGAATATATTTTATTCACAACCAAATTTGTTCAAGACAAATATAACAAAAACAGACAAGTCTTAAGAGAATCTTGTTAAACGTACACAAGGTTCTCTGAGAAGTAACCGCGGTCGACACAGGATTAAATCTGAGGAAAATATCGTTCCTCAGCAATATATATGCTTTTCAGGAATACAGGTCAACATCAA